AGATAGATAGATAGATAGATAGATAGATAGATAGATAGATAGATAGATAGATAGATAGATAGATAGATAGATAGATAGATAGATAGATAGATAGATAGTATTGCTTCTTCATCTTCTATCATCCTTACTTAACAGCCATGAATCTGTATTGTGGATATCAAGATAGCTTAGCAGCCCTTTGATTAAATGAATAGACCAAGTTTAGAGGACATCTGTTAGCAGATCTGGGAAAAGATTACTCAGCCTCATCTCATACAGACAGAGTAGCAAATGATGTAATTAAGGCCACAAAAATACTGCCTCTTGGCCTTGGCCTCTCGCCTCATTCAATCTTTTGTAGTGTAATATAATAATACGATTCCACTTTACAGAATGCACAAAAAAGAAATAAAATATTGAAATTTCTGTTGCTTAATACACTTGAGAAATCGTAGAGCTGTCGACTGCAATTTTAAACAGAAAATTAATACGCTTAGATTAAAATCTTTGTGAGATGTAGAAGTAGAAGATAAAGAAATTAACATGACTAGCAGGCCAGACTATGGGCCAAACTAGGGCACTGCATTCATAAAGATGATTTATATACCAGAAACACAAAACTGATGTAATGTTCTTACTTTACATTCTAATTGATTTTTTTCCAGACCTTGTTTTCTATGGCCCTCAGTTTGTTGTTTCTGAAGCTGAGATGAGCTTCACAAGCTTTGAGGACTAACAGATACACAAGTCATTAAAATACATCACTTTCACTGGTCTTTCTGTTCAGCTTCCCATGATGCAACTACTATAGGGTAAATCATGTAATGCCAACAGCTTTATTCTGGTGTACAACTCTAATTCTGTCATGTCATCTCAAGCAACTAAACCTCAGACCTTCTGTACCTAAAGGCAGCTTTCAAATGAGTCTAATTTCCCTCATCTGCTTCTTTCCCACGCTCTAAAGCCTCTTGGCCTATCATGTCTTAAGTCTGTGTTTACAGAAATATTTCCGAGCTCAGTGCATGGACCAGAAAAACTCTGGTTACAGGATGTAACATTTATTTGGAGATTACTCAGTATACTAGAAGTTCTATCACTGGAATATATGCTACATTATCCAAGTGCATCAAAAATATTACAGAAAATACGACAACTATTACTATTCCTAATAAAGAAGGAAATGCATGAAGTGTGTTACTAAGATTAAGCCCCAGTTTTGCCCAGCCACCAGCCCTTGCAATGAAGAAATACCTAACACAGTATGACACATACTGCGTGTGTGTGACTGTCTCAATCTGCCCTTTTCCAAAGAACTTCAATCATTTAGTTTCTCTGAGCAGTATGCTTCCAATCCCAGCAAACAGCTGGCCTGGCATTTAGAACACATGGGGATTAGTGGGTTGATTTATTTAGAGGCTCAATCCAGAGTCTGACCATTGCACCACTTATGATGCCAAGATCACCTCTCTGCTGGCTTGCTGATTATATTTTCATTTTTCTTCTATTGATTTCATCCATATTCTGCATGTATGAAGAAGCCATATTTGAATGAATCTCACAATGTGCTTATGTTTACGATCAATCTAAATCATGTCTGCATCTTAACAATATACTTTCCTATCTATAGATGCATTTAGAAAATCAAAGTCTCCATTTAGGGGTTGTAAGAAGCATTTTACAGTTTATCATATATTTTTCTTTAATTGATTCAGTGGATTTTTATTTCTGCTGTGATTGTTAACTACTGCTGGATTAAACTAATCTGTAGGCGCCTGATATTTTACATCTGGCTTAGTCTCCTGAGTCAGTATAAGCTCAGTTGGCAATCATATGTTTTTAGTTTGCCACACAGACAGGTTGGCAGAAGCCGTGTGGGCGTGTGTAGAAGGTGCAGGTGTGTCAATGTGCTTTGATAGCGTCCTTTAAAAAAACAAAAGAATCTGTGAACCAAAGTGGATTTCCCACTTGCCATCGTCTCTCATTGGTTGTCACAAGGGCCTGATTTGCATATGGTGGGAGTGTCCTGAGCCAGCAGTGGGATGAATGACTTGTTCAAGTCAGATAGAAATAAGGCATAGCACTTAGCAGAGGTCTGCACAGCTCAACGCTCAAAATGCCTGGCTTACTTAAGCTGCTCCTCTTCCTGCTATGAGTGGAAAGTGCTACAAACGGACATAAACATGTTCAACAGCAGACATCCTAGACTCAGCAAAAGAGGAAGAATATGGGTAAGTTTCACAACAATTTGCTTCACAAACAGAATTTAATGTTACGCAGCTACACATATGTTAGATGGCTTTGTGAGCACCATTTCATATCATTAAGGCAGATATAGGATTAGGCCCTTATACATCATATTGTTTTTCATCTTTCTCTTAAACTTGTGCAGATAAACCTTGATTTCATAACAGTCTAATTTCAGGGCCTGATTTAAATACTTCATAAACTGAACATATGGATGTTATTTTGTTATTTAGGTTTCAGAACAGCTCTGTAACTGATAGGAAAACAAAATATTTATTTTTAATGAGAATAAGAATAATATATCCCAAATACCTATTTCTTTACTAACTTTAATTAAACCACAACATCTTCATCTTTTAACATTTTTTCTTGTGTTTACAGGGATTGTGCATCCTTTTGCTTTACACCAACCCCCTTTCCTGTTTGGCAAATTTCAGTCAAGCAAAAGAGCTCATCTATAAGATAAAGGAGGGATTACCAAGGGGGACTTTTATAGGAGCTATTGGAGTAGATTTAAATTTGGATTTCTCTGTTGACCCCCCCTTTATATTCAGTCTCGCTCAAAAGAAGGTCAGTGAACAGTATGTGAACCTAAATAATACCACCGGGGAGCTTTACACATCTGCTACAGAGATTGACAGGGAGACTCTCTGTGCTGATAACTTAGAGGGGCAGGGATGTGTCCTCTCACTGGATGTGTTTGTGCTGCCTCAACAATACTTTCAGCTTGTCAAAGTAAAGATTCTCATTGAGGATGTTAATGACAACAGGCCAAAGTTCCCCACAGATGAGATCGCTATGTCTGTCCCTGAAAACGCACCAATCAATGCTCGCTATGCAGTAGAGCAATCGGCAGTTGACCCAGACCTGGGTCCTCATGGAGTGCAAACCTACTGGCTGGTTAATGACTTTGGAATGTTCACATTGGATGTTGAGGAGAATGAAGGAGGTGAGCTGACGCCTTTCCTCATTGTGACAGAAGCTTTGGACCGAGAGACTCAGGCGGAATACATTACCGATATAATTGCAGAGGATGGGGGGACCCCTCCTCTACTTGGTGCTGCGACTTTGAAAATTGTCATCACGGATGTGAATGATAACTGTCCCCAATTCAAAGAGTCACAAATTAATGTCACTCTGCATGGGAATACCACCAAAGGGGTACATTTGGCACGTCTGCATGCTTTTGACCCTGACCTTGGTGCTAATGCTCAGATCAGCTATGCTTACAGTGAACGCGTGCCAAGGGACACCAGGAGCTTGTTCCATTTGGACAAAATTACAGGAGTGATCAAGCTCGCAGGGAAAATAGACACTGGCACAGCCACATTTTACAAACTCACTGTTCTGGCTACTGGACCTGGTTGTATTCCTGCTGTAGCCACTGTTATTGTCCATATCATCAAAGTTGTCACTGGACCCCCTACTCTCATACCCCGGTACATTGCGCCAGAAAAAGATGGGGTGGTAACAATAAAGGAATCTGAACCAGCTTTTTCTCCAATTGCTTTTTTTACTGTTAAAAACATTGATAAGAACCAAAGGGTGGACTGTTATTTGGAAGGACCTGGTCCCTTCAGGTTGAGCCCCTATCAGCTGTTCAAGAATGAATACCTGTTGGAGACAACAGAGCCCTTGGACTTTGAGAGGACACAGGAGTATGATCTTATTTTGGTTGCTAATAGCACCCGTGGGATCGTTATCAAGACCTTCCTTAAGGTGCAAGTTTTGGACGAAAATGACAATGCCCCTGTGTTTCAGCAGTCGTTGCTGGAGATATCAGTTGAAGAAAACAATCCGCCAAACACTTTTCTCACTCAGCTCCAAGCGTCAGACCAGGACAGTGAAAGCAGAGGGGAAGTTCTTTACCTCCTCGGAGGCGACGCCCCTGGTATTTTTGTTGTGGATCGAGTTACAGGTATCCTGACTGTGGCCACATCACTGGACCGTGAGGAGAAAGAGACATACCGGTTCATCGTGAGAGCGGTGGACCAGGGGACACCCAGAAGGGAGTCAATTGCAACAGTGGTGGTGACCGTGCAAGATCGCAATGACAACAGTCCACGATTCATCAACAAGGATTTCACTTTCTTTGTGCCAGAGAACTTCCCAGGTTATGGTGAGATCGGTGTCCTCTCTGTGACTGATGCTGATGCTGGAGAAAATGGCTGGGTGGCCCTCTCCATCCTGAATGGCAGTGACATTTTTATGATAGACACAGGCCGAGGGGCACTGAGGGCAAAGACATCACTGGACCGGGAGCAGCAGGGGACCTACCAGCTATGGATCGAGGCTGTTGATGGTGGGGAGCCTGCTCTCTCCTCTGTCACAATGGTTACCGTGCTGCTGCTGGATGTAAATGACAACCCACCAATCGTCCTCTTTCCTCAGTCGAATCAGTCTTACATGCTAGTGCTACCCAACACTGTACCAGGAACATCAATCACAGAGGTGTACGCTGTGGATAAAGATACAGGGATGAATGCTGTGATCGCCTACAGTATCATTAAAAGGAAAGGCGGTGAGCCCGGGTCTTTTGCCATTGACCCAGAAACAGGAAATATCACATTAAAGAGGGAGCTCAGCAATCGTGGCCTATACAGCCTTCTGGTGAAGGTCAGTGATCATGGTCAACCTGAACCTCTGTACTCAACAGTTATGGTTAACTTCTTTGTCAATGAAACAGTGAGTAATGAAAGTTACATTCAAAGTCTGCTGACCAGAGAGGCTGACATAGAGGTAGAGGAGAGGCCCTGGTACATTGGCCAGATGGCAGAGGGGCCTGAGAGGTATGAGCCATTCCCGTGTCAGCCTGTCCTCATTGCTCTTTCAGTGACGTGTCTGGGGCTGTTCTTCTTGGTTGTCACGCTGACGTCTTACATATGCTGTAGGAGGTTTAAAAAGAACAGGATGAAAAGATCAGAAGTGGAAATACCTTTAAAAATTCAAAATGACTCGATGCAGGTTGTGAACAGAAAGCTCAGACAGATCTCTAACATCTGATGTTCAGTTGTTCACTCGTTCAAACAAAAAAAACACCACCACTGTTTACATAAATGTTTACAAAACTCACTGTAAGAACTTTCTCTTACATGAAGTTCCTCTTTTGGGCTTTGTGATGATTGTTTTTTGTCATATGCCACCACTTTCTGTCAGTGGCAGTGGCAGGCAGCAACGGTGTCATTACAAAAACATCGCAGTAACTCAGTGAATATTACCAAGGTCCCATGTAAATACTGTATAAAAAGATTTACAACTTTATATACAAGTTTTGCATTTGATTGGTAAGGACAAGAGACACTGCTTTAGAGAAAAAAATGCATCTCTTTAGACCATCTGTCACTTGTATCGGTTATACAAATATAATTGAAAAATAAATGTATTTCCAAGTTAAATGTTTATCTATATTCATGAGGTAACCGTGAAGTCTGTAATACAGAAAAGGGCAATCAAAGTGAATTGGAAAAGCTAACACAGAATACGTGAATGCCATAAAACGTCGTTCTATACACGACAACCGCAATGACAACAGACCAAACTAGACTAACAAACAAACTAGACATTTCTTCACACGTTTTCACTTGTGTCTTACTTTCTACTTTTGCTCAGATGTTGTGCAATAATATAGTACATATAAGTGATAATTGAGTGATATAATGTTAGGTTAAAATTTTGGGAAAAAAAGCTTGTAGGTGCACCTTGAGTTTTTTTGTTTTGTTTTGTTTGTTTGTTTGTTTGTTTGTTTTTGTCCCCTTTTCTTTTCTTTTTATCAATAAAAATTCCGTACAGCTGTTGTGCCAAATCAGCACAACAACAAAATAATCACATTTTCATCACTTTGCTACTGGAACTGTGTCCAAACTTGTCAAAAAAGCTACTTTTAAGTTAAATACATCACTTTCCTTTATAGAGTCATGCAATTCTCAATGTGTCTGTGAAAATATGCAAGTGTTTGTGATAGACTGTTTGTAACTATTAAAGATACTTTATTTTTATAATACACTGGATTTTATTCTGTATTGATTTCATTATGTCTTGCTATCACACATATATCCTACATGCACTCAGATGTGTGTGTCTAAACTTTAAGGTTTTAAAGTACCTGCCACTCAGATTGACTGGTATAAATGGCATTTATATGCTTAAAAGAAAACAAGCCTGTAGTTTAGATTAAAATAAATTGAGAAACACAAAGAATGTAAATATACTTTAAAGTAAGGAAGGAAATTGATAGATACTGATTGGCACCTAATAAAAAATACATTTAGACTTCATCTTCTTCATATATCAAATTTGGTATACAAATTAAGTGCCTGCTGGATCTCACGAAGTGTGAGTGTCGCTGAAGGAGTTAAAGATCAAAAGTACATGATTCTGTATTGTTGTTGCCATCACCTGTGAAGAACAGACCTGGTGAGGTAATACCAAGAGTCCCACTAAGAAGGAAAAACATAGTGCAGCTGCTCGTGTCTGGTGTGTTTGAGGATCAAATTCACATTTCTCACCTCTCTTGAGTGGTATTCGCAATCACTGTGCTTTTCATTCCACAACAACTTTGGGATATATCTGGAAAGTGTGAAAGTGTTTCTGACACATTCTCCCCCAACAGATCAACTCAGAAAGCCTTTTGGTTTTAAAGCTGCTTTTTCTCTGCCCTGTGCTTCTTTGTTGTATTTGTATGTTTGCTATGAAAGTTATGTGGGCAAAAAGGCTTCAGGACTCTTTGTACCTGGGCTAACTACTGTATGCACCCTCCCAAGTGATGCACTCTGTTGTGTTATATGCCTCTAAAACCAGTTCAGGTTTGGCTTTCACAAGACAGCAAGAATGCAAACAAACCTGTATTGAGAGTACATTCTCCAGCGCAGTTTCTCAAGTAAATACCAGCCTTATATTTTTAACAGTAGCACGTCATTAACGCACAGAGCACATCAGGAACTGGAAATAGCTCCGTGTAATCCTTAGTAATCACCTTGGGCATATGTATGCTGGATGCATACTATAATGTATTTCAGACAAGTAATAATATGTGTGACATAAAGGAAATCAACATCATTAGTCTCATGTACTATCAGAGCTGTAACTGATTGGCCTGACTTTAACATTCATTAAGAAAAAGAGTAATCCAGCCGCACATTCAATATACTTCCTATGGTCTTAACCTCCTAGGACCTGGCGTCCACATATGTGGACATCACATTTTGGGTTATTTAGACCAAAATACTCAATTTTGCTCAACAAGGGCCTGATATCCACTTACGAGGACATTATTCTGCTACTGTTGTATCGAAATTTTAAACGAATATCCTCATATGTGGCTCTCGTTTTTCTTAGAAACAAAAATTAGGTAAAAAAAAAAATCTGGTAATAATTCTTTGTTTTTACATTAATTAGGACCCAATCAGCCCAAATATCAAAGAGAAATTAAAAATGCATGCCGTGGAAGAGTTCGGGTCTTAGGAGGTTAAATATTTGTATTAACTTAAAATATGAATTTCTTTGTGTTACCGATTAATTCATTTTTTGCTTTTATCAAGATATTTTTAGATGTATGTGACTACAGGAACTGGAAGGCTGTGTTATAAAAAGCCTTCAATGCTAGAACACCATTGCAAATACAGGTGCTATGTTAGTCTCTCCTCATGTGTCAGCCATAGGCGATATTCAGTCTTTGCCTTAATAATGTTGCTGATGTCATCCTACAGTAACTTAGTAACTTCAAGTAGCTTAGCCCAGACTCAGTTTGTCTGAAGCCAAGTGACACATAATATAACAAATTTTGCAGATTTCTTTTCTTCTCTCTTTTCTTTTCTTTTTTTCTTGCTCTGAGCAAACAACTACAGATTGTGATTAATTGCAGTAATAACAACTGAGGTCTCACTTTAGCGTGTCTCATTTCTCTTTCACCCGTTCTGACTCTTTCAATAAGTCGTTTCATTCAGCATGTTGAGACAGGAAACAGTCATACAAGACCTTTATGTCTGTGCTGGCCTAAACCCAGATGTTATGATGATAGAGTATGGTTCAGTGTGCAATAACAAACACTGGTTTCTATTAATAAATGGTAAGATCGGATCGGATTGGATTTATTTCATTTTAAGATGTTTCAATAGGTGAAAAGAATACATTTGGCTTCAATATTAACTCTTCTCTTGTATGTCTCTGTTGTGGCCTACAAGCTGAAAAAAGCACCATGCTATTTCTCACATGTTCACTTTTAGTACATATAAGTAACGTTTCTTACTATAATGGAAGTTTTGATAACTTGCTGGTCTGGAGGATTTGTGTTACCACAATGCCACAATCTACCAGAAGTGCACATCATCCAAGAGCTACATCTAAGACTCTTAAAGTTCATGACAGTACAGACTGTGGCAACATGGCTTTTGCAAAGTTGCATCTGAAGAAACAATAAGACTTCTGGACAGACAAGACCAAAGTGGAGACATCTGGTCATAGTGCACAGCGCCACATTTGGAAAAACCAAACACAGCATATCCACAAAAAGCTCTCATCGTAACCGTAAAACACAATGGTGGGAGGGGTGATGATTTAGGTTTGTTTTGCACCCACAGGACCTGGGCACCTTGAAGCCATTGAGTCAATCAAACACTCCTATGTGTACCAAAGTATTGTAGTCAAATATGAGGCCATCTTGGACAAAAATTGATCATGCAACTGGACAATGATGCCAAGCACAGCAGAAAAATCTACCTGACTGAAATTCTGTGAAGGGGCCTGCATAAAGAATTGCTCACAATCTGAATGAACCAAAGCTATGCTGCAAAGAAAAGTGGCTCAATATTCCTTCACAATGATGTGACAGACTGATAAATACAAGATTTCTTTGGGGTATCCAAACCTGCTGCATGAATCTGCATCCCTAGCTATTTGTTCTGCAGTCAAAAAATCAAGATATTTCAGCTGTACTGTATCCTTCAGTCCCACCCAGTCTTCCAAAGTACCTTTAACCTTTGCTTTTTGTTTTTTCTACTCTTCAGGAGACTGAGTTTGATGTATGTGTCTTGTTACATAAATCCTGTTCTGGGTTTTACATCTCTAGAAACAGATGGAAAGGGGGCCAAAAAGACAGAGGCACCCCACAGCTTTTCTACATGACTGATCACTTCAAGTGGTGATCCTGCTGATAGCCAGTTTGATATCCTCAGACCAGGGCAGAATAAACGTGATTTAAATCGTGTTCTTGAACTTGTGACAGACACCCTTAGTTTTCTGTGTTTTATATTATATGCGGCTACAACTTTCGATGCATTCATTGATGTGGTTGTTCATTTGTTTCAGAGAGGTCTTTCTTCATAATCTCATGCAGATACACTGAGAAATTACAGATACAGTTCAGCTATATTCCCTTCCATCTTTCTCTCTCTCCCTCTCTCTCTGTTTCTCTTACCCTCTCTCTCTCTCTCCGCTACACCCCACCCCCCCTTCCAGGAAAGTCTATCTGAAATTACATTAAATTCTTAATGGTGTAGACAGCAAGTAATTACCATCAGTCACAGCCTGATCTCATTTCCAGATTGGCTTTATTGTAACGTCCCTCCCTTGAAATCAAACAAATAAAGACACAATGAGAGGCCCAGGTAGAGTTACAGAGCTCTGCTGAATAAGAGAGGCTATGTTTCCCAAGTTATGACATCAAATACGACCGCCCCTACCACCACCACCACCAACACCACCCCATGCACACACACACACACACACACACATGCATACGCACACACAAATGGACTTTGTTCAATCTTCAATAATGCATCTCCATATTCCCCCACTGAAAATCACTGCCTTTGATCTGAAACATCTTTTATTTGCTCTGATGCAACAAAATATAATCCAATCGCACTCTTTTGATCCTGCTGTGGATTACGTTACTAATTTTCTTTAGTCCTCCATCCCTATTTTTCTCTCAGTTTCATCCTGTTTCATCCCAGCAAAACACAGAGGGGCTTCTAGGGAATTAACTGCGTCAATTTATTTCAGAATAACTTCTTTTTTTTTTCTCACGACTTCTTACAATTTAATATTGTCCTGTTCTGCCACTGTATGCAATATTAGA